GGACCACCTGGTGGATAAGGAGTTGGCTGGATGGTTGCACTCAGAGAGTTGTGGTCAACAGCTTGATGTCTGGGTGGAGACCAGTGATGAGTGGTATTACTCACGGGTTGGTATTAAGGCCAGTATTATTTAACATCTAACACTGGGACTGACCACACCCTCAGCAAGTTTGCCTACAACACTAAGTTGTGTGGTACAGTCAACATGCTGGAGGGAAAGGATGGGATCCAGAGGGACCTGGACAGGCTGGAGATACGGGACTGTGCAAACCTCATGGAGTTCAACAAGGCCAAGTGCAAGGTCCTGCACCTGGGTCAGAACAATCCCAAGCACAACTACAGGCTAGGTGGAGAATGGATTGAAAACAGTCCTGAGGAGAAAAACTTGGAGGTCCAACCCAAACCATTCTGTGATTCTATAATTCTATGAATAGAAATGGAAGCATAAAATTAAACATCTCTTACAGCAAACAATGCTCTCTTAGTTTGTGACAGATATAAAGTGAAGAAACTGTATTATTCCCCCTTTAGAAAATGACTGTATGTCTGTGAGGGTGATAGGCATCTCAGGCCCACTTGGTTAGTACTGACACAGTCGTAACAGTCCTCATCAGAGCCCTTATTCTCTCTTGTGTGCGCAAACACATGCGCGGGCACAGAGGCTGTAAACACAACTGCGCGGCCATGACATGTTCAAGACACTGAATGAAACTTCTTACCTCTGAATAATTTCAGATAGAAATTTCCATGACAGAGCAGATGAATAGTCCACAGCATTTGCTGCCTCACACAGTCCAGTCACTAATATCAGATATTCCACAAAACTCTGCAGATGACAGTAAAATACAGGCTAACAACAGGAAGCTTCTTTGAGAGGCTGGCTCAAATCCTGAAATTAGAGATGCACAAACAAACACAGCTGCACTGGTACGATTTCTAAAAGGCCAGAGGCAAAGCTTCTAATACACCTTTACACAGATATGAAACACTCCTCTGGGGATTTACTACTTGCACTCAAGGAAGTGAACAGTGGTAACAGCAGATAAATAATGAAAAAACAATTATGTTTTAAAGACCCCAATAATTTTAACAGTCCATGGTGGTGTTAATAATACAGGGAAGGAAACTGAAAAACATTTATCTTGACATTTACCCTTTTGTGCCCTGGTAAGTAAAGCACAGTAATTCAATTGTGATGAGGTAAAGCTTTAGCGGAAGAAAGAGGGATATAATTTATATTCAAGTTTCTTAGTTTTTACTATCCTGTTCTTCTGTTTTGAAGCATTACTAGAGGCTTCTCTGAGTGTGTGTGGTATACCTCACCCTTTCTGAGTTTTAAGCCACCCAAAACAATCAGAGAAATAAACTGATTTTTGTTTGCGTTCTGTTGCAATTACATGTGTGGTCAACACATTCTCCAACTAAATCAAAGCTTTATGATTTCACTACTATTTCTTATCACTTAAACCTGGACTTCTTTGAACTAGCCAGTTGGAACTACATAATCTTTAAGGCTTCTTCCAACCTAAACCATTCTATGATAATGTTCTCCGATACTAACACAGAATGAAAAGACAATCCTAGCTAGTAAAGCAGAAATAAGCCTTTAATACTTATCATTTCAAACCAATAAAAGGCAGCAACTGCAACAAAAGGGGCCTGAATGACACCAGCACTGCACTGATAATGGAGTAAGAATTCTTCTGCTTACCGAGCTGCAATTTAAACCAATGGTGACTGATCTTTCACCTATTCTCATACAAAATTCTTTCCTGTGAGGGTGGTGAGACACTGGCACAGGTTGCCCAGAAAAGCTGTGGCTGCCCCATCCCTGATAGTGTTCAAGGCCAGGCTGGATGAGGCTTGGAGCAACCTGGTCTAGTGGAAGGTGTCCCTGCCTGTGGTAGGAGGTTGGAACTAGATGAGCTTTAAGGTCCCTTCCAACCCAAACCATTCTGTGATTCTATGTTCTGAAGCTAAGGCATCAGTCTGCACTGCAGTGGGTGCTGCATAAGCAGGCTTTCCTCTTGCTGACTCTCCTGTGGGGTCCCTAAGTGCTGACAGACAGACAGGTGACTGTGCGCTGTGCCTTGAAACTCTGCAGGGCTTACCTGCATAGGTCACCACATAGTCTACATCCAATTCGACCAACATATACTTGATGTCACATCTCTACTGCATTAATTTAGGAGCTAAGTCCTGTGTCTTCTAATTTAAAAATGGATAAGCAACTTTACTACTAGGAATCTGCTTTTCCTTAAGAGCATTAGGATGCTTCTGACATTGTATCAGCTTCTCACCTTGTGACATGAATGTATGAAATAAAGGAAAAGTGTACAAGAAAAGATCCCTGTTGTTTTGTGTTTTTTTCTGGGGGGGAGGGCTGGTGGTGTTTGTTTTGTTGTGTTTTTTTTTTTTAAATCATAAAATAATAGAATGGTTTGTATTGGAAGGGACCTTTAAGATCATTCAATTCTAAATTCCCTGCCATGGTAGGGTCCCCCACTCTAATGTCCCCTCTCTCTACCCTCCTTCTAATTCTGATCTATAAGCAAGACTAGATCAAATCATTATTTCTATTTCTCTTTTTGAAAATAGAAAAAAAAAAATCTGCTTTGGGATTAAATATTTTCCCTCACAATGCAGAGAAATTTTAAAATTAGATTATTCTTGCTGCCCTGCATGCTTTTAGAATTCTTCATAGTAGCTATTTCAAATAAATACAACACACTGTAAAATTGCTTGTACTGAGCAATTACAGTTCTTACATAGTGGAAGCCAGATTTATTTCCAGTCTTTCATGCTGTGGTGTATTTAATCACAGTGCAATGGAAATACATAAGAATGCCATGGCTATTTTTTGAGCTCTCTAAAAACAAGTTCCTTCTTTATCTGCATTATAACATCAGTTTTAATTTAGATATTGTTTCTTGGCCCTATGGCTATGACTTTCCATTCTTTTTATAATTCCACAAAATTAATGCTTTCCATTGTGAAAGACATCCTTCCATTTGAGAGCTATCAATAGAAAAAAGACTGTAGAAATATGCCATGGTAGTAGGATTCCACCACTATTAAGGGAAGAATTATACCATTAATATTCTTAGCAGGAATCTCTGCTCTGTTGGTAACAATGAAGATCTCATTTCTAAAGTAAAGTTTTTTCCTTGTATGTCTATATTTAAAACACCTACTTTACTTTTTGTCATAATTTTCAAAAATATAAGAGAGAAGCTTCCTTGTTTGTTTGTCTTTTTCTTTCTTTGTTTTCAGAATTACCAGCCATTTCCCCCCACTGTTTTCACAGCAAACATCATCACAGATGAGCTCTTTGGGGATACTGCAGCAGATCACCTTCCACAGGGATTTCTGGTACTGGACCTGCAACACCACCTTCCAAGTTTCATGTGCATTTTCCTTACCTTACCTAGTAAGAAAGAAAAAGAGAAGACAAAATTTCCAACTTCTAACTGGTAATCTTTTATAAGTAAGTCTCAAGGTAGATAAACAGTTCAGGTGCTATGGGCCATTTACTATTATTATTATTACTACTATTATATTTATTTTCCATTCTGTATATGAACTGCGAAAACCTTGGCTGTACCCGTAACACAAATAATGAGAACTAATGTATAATTTTATACTTGGAGTATTTTGCTGGTATTGCCTTCACCAGCAGCCTTAAAAATAATCACTACTATCTGGAAATAAACCTCAGCAACATCGTGTTTTTTTTCCTTCAGTCCAGCTGTTATAGATGGAAAATACAGACAAGATGTGCTCCTCACAAGCTCTTCAGGACAGCTGGATATGGGATGTTTTGAGTTACCGCCCCACATGCCTCCTGGCTTGCAGGGCTGTCAGCAGGGGTGAGACCCTTGTGTCTTTGTAGAGACCAGAAGCAGCTGAAACAGCTATCATTTAGAAACAGACCTCTGTGTCTTTGTGAGGTGTCTCTGTACTTTTGAGATTCTGTTAAGAGCAGCTACATTAGCACAAAGGCACTAGTAAATTTTTCCATCAATCACTCAGGTTCCTGTGCTTTGGAACCAGCAAAATACTTTTCTTTTGATGCAGCTGGCTCAAAATGTTTGCTCATCTCAAGCCAGCTCAGTCTTCCTACTTGAGGAGGCTATTATGGTTTCTGTAAGTTCATCAGTATTTTTAAGAGTAGTAAGTCCTTACAAACCTACATCTCTTCTTCAAGTCACAGAATCAACTAGGTTGGAAAGACCTGCAAGATCATCAAGTCCAACCATTACCCCAGGACTGCCAAGACCACCATTAAACCATGTCACTACGGGCCTCATCTACAAGGTTTCTGAACACTTCCAGGGATGGTGATTCCACTGCTTCCCTGGGCAGCCTGTTCCAACGCCTGATCACCCTTTTGGGGAAGAAATTGTTTGTAATACCCAATGTAAACCTCCCCTGGTGCAGCTTGAGGCCATTACCTCTTGTCCTATCACCTGTTACTTGGAAGAAGAGACCAATTCCCACCTCACTCCATCATCCTTTCATGTAGTCGTAGAGAGAGACAAGGTCCCCCCGAGCCTTGCCTTGCCTTTTCTCTTCTCTTCTCTCTTCTCTCCAAGATGAACACCCCGTTCCTTCAGCTGTTCTTCATCAGACTTGTGCTCCAGACCCTTCACCAGCTTTGTTGCCCTTCTCTAAGCCCGCTCCAGCACCTCAATGTCCCTGTTGTAGTGAGGGGCCCAGAACTGAACACATGACTCGAGGTGCAGCCTCACTAGTTCCCAGTACAGGGGGATGATCACGGCCCTGGCCCTGCTGGCCACGCTACAGCTGATACAGGCCAGGATGCTGTTGGCTGCCTGGGCACAAGCTGGATCATGTTCAGCCGGTGGCCAATGGCACCCCAGGCAGTCACAGCCTTTCCCGGGCTCTGAGGCGCGCCGGCCTTTGCGCCTGCAGGAACGCGAGGTGCCCCCCGAGGGCAGGACTACAAAGCCCAGCCCGCCCGGCCGCACCGCCCTCCGCTCCGTGCCCGCGCGCCTCAGCTGACAGCACCGAGATGGCGGCGGCGCGTCACGGGGAGGTCGGCGCTCGCCTCAGCTGAGAGCGCCAAGATGGCGGCGTTGCGGGACGGGGAGTTCGCCGCCCTGCAGAGCCTGCTGAAGGTGAGCGGTTCTCCGAGCTGCTGGGGGACGTGGCACCCTGCCCGGCGGCTGCCGCCTCTCCCGGGCCGTGGCCGAGCATACCCTGCTTTGCTCCCCACCAGGCACCCTCGAAGGACGCCGTGCGGCAGCTGTGCCAGGAGTGTTTCTCCAGCTCACCCGCCGGCCTCGGCCCGCTGTCGCAGCGCGCCTGCCCCGGCCTCACCGCCGACCTCGAGGCAGCGGAGCAGGTAGGACCGGACGGAACAGCGTCAGGCCCCGTGCGAAGGAGCAGGAGAACAGGAGCTCCTCGCCTGGCCACACTGCGCGGGAGGGAGGGGAGGAGCGGCCTCCAGCAGCGGCAGCACTGGGGCTGGCACAGGCCCTGTGGACGATGCGCGGCCCCATGGGACTCCCAGGGACCGCGGCAGCTGCGGGAACGAAACGTGCTCGGTAAAAGCTATCCTCTCCGGGAGGCACTGCCTGGAGGGGCCGTACAGGGTGGCAAAAGGGAAGAGGCATGCACGCCGGAGGGCAGCTTGAATCTCAGCTCCGTACCAGTTGAGGCTGTGAGGCACCACTTGAAATGTCCAAGACCCTGAGGGGGCGGAGGGGGGTGTGTGTGTCAGTCTCGCTGCAGAAGCTCTGTCTTTCTTGGCTACTTAAGGCTCGTCCTGTGCTGCATGTAATGCTTTTAAAACCAGCAGATCCCTTCCTCCTCTTTCTTTCCTACAGCTGGTATCTGCTTTGCATAACCTCACCAGACACGTCGTGTACCGTGGCTTGACAAAGGCAGAAGACGTCCTCGCGCTCTTTCCCGAAAACTTCCATCAAAATCTAAAAAACCTTCTGACTAAGATAATCTTGGAGAACATGTGAGTGCTACCTATCTGCCATTGCTCTTGGCTGGAAAGTCAAAGCCATAGTATCTCTTTTGATACGTAGATAGCTGGAAGCATACAAAGTCTTGTTTCTGTTCATAGAATCACATAATGGTTTGGGTTGGAAGGAACCTTACAGGATCATCTAATTCCAGACCCCTGCCACGGGCAGGGACACCTTCCATTAGACCAGGTTGCTCAAAGCCTCACCCCCCTGTTAATTTCATGTGTGATTGATTAATTAATTCTGTGTGTACCTTGGACATAATCACACAGGCTGGGATGAGCAGAGTGGAATGAAATCCATCATCTGAGTAGAACAGCAAGCAAAACACAGCTGTGGTGGGCACACAGGGTTTTTCCAAGACTTTTGGAATGGGTATGGAACTCAATCACATAAGGCAACCCCCCTTTTATCCTAACACTCACCTGGCAGAAAAATTATAAAACTTTGAGGGCTAGATTTCAGCACTACAGAATCTGCTTGGGTAGTATCTAGATGCCCAGCCACTTACCACCTTGGCTTATGTGTAGAGGCATATGATAGAGCATAGGTGAAGTGGTGGCAATTCTGCATGTTTGTACATCTCACTGCCTGGTAGCTCATCACTTTGATAAAACCTGGGAGAAAGGTACATGGGGTAAGTGAGCTATAAAAAACTAATGGCTTGTCATCAGTTTGCCTACCATCACCAGTGACAGCCTTTCCTTGGCACTCTGGCATAAGCAGTTTCTCTCCCCTGCTTACTGCTGGAGCCCTGGTGACCTTTCTGTCAGGGATAAGCCACTCTGAATGCTTTCCCTACCTTTTTTCTTTTTATCTCCTCCCTCCTGCTGCCTCAAGCACTGCTGATGCTTTTTTCTTCACTTTTTCACAGCTCTGCTTGGAGGAATGAAGCACAAGCGAGTCAGAGTAAGTAGTAATTCATACCTCGATACAATTAATGTTTCTTGAGGTCATTGTTTATAATAGTGCATTGCAGTGTGTTTTCTTAATGTAGCACATGGATACACCCATTTGCCTTAGATGAAGCTGTATGACTGCAGAATCACAGAGCTTAGCAGAGGCCGAAAAGCTTGCATTTAGATCTGTGCAAAATTGTTACCAGTCTTCATGCAATTCCATTTAATGCTCAGTTTGTTCCTGCCTTGCAGAGTGCAATGTATAGCAAGTAATTATTTGCAAGAGTTTGAAAGTGAAGCACTCTGACCTCCCCATTCAAGTCATAAAGTGATGTCCATATTCAATAATACGGAGATGTATATGTTGGGGAATAACTTATCTTTGCACATCTACACAACTCTGTGCATTCTTCTCTTTCATGCATCAGGAAGTACACTGCATACATTCATAACTGCTTTTTCTCACCTTTCTAAACTGTGATGTAATTAAGGAATGCAAACTCTTAATGTCACAGGCAATGAGTTACATCCCAGTTAGGTGTTTCATGCAGCTACAACACTTTTTCTCTCCAAGAGGTATTCTTTACAACCGTAGCACTTGGAGGCTTACAAATGAGAACCAGTGCATAACAGACTACTCTGAGGTCTGCATCGATCTTCCTAACCCTTTTTTTTCCTTCCAGAGGAGATAATGCCCAACAGCTAAACAGTATGGCAAGACCTGGAAATACACTGTCCCTCTAAGTTTTCATGGCCTGGAAGTAGGTAGAGGGAATAAACTTGTGTAATGCTAATACAGTAAATAAAGCAGTTGCTTACATTAAACAATGTTCTAGTGTTACCAAGACATGTAATGCTTTTTCCTGTATCCTTGATGCTATCATGCATTAGAGGAAATGAGAGCAAGCGTAACACACCAGTGTAACACACAAGCTAGCTCTTCATAACCCAGAGGCAAGGCTTTTGGAGCACCACCCAGGAGCTTTGCGCAGACACTTATGTCTTTGTATTCATTAGAAGAATATTTAACCTTGTTGCAGTGAGATTGTCTTCTAGGGAATGGATTATTTTAGTATTATATTCATGAAATATCTGACATATATTACCTAGGGACCAAGGCAGAGTTTTAAAGAACAGATACATGAATGGCTACTGCTCTCCTCCCAGCTATACTTGTCTTGCACTGTACCGTCTTTGCATGTGGTGGTTGGAGAACCCTGTTTGTCCTGCCAGTGTCATGAGGAGGCTTTCAGAGACTGGCTTATTGCCGAGTAAAATTGATATGAAACCAGGTAGGAGCACTAAAGTTGTACACTTCCCAGGGCCAGAAGTGGAGAAGCGTGTATGTCCTGGTAGTCAGGGGTTCCAGGGTCTGGTGTCACCATGTGCTGCTGGGCCTAACAGACCCATTTTTTAATCCCTCAGTCTCCCTGCCTCGGCTGGTCGACATGGACTGGAGGGTGGACATCAAGACATCTTCAGACAGCATCAGCAGAATGGCAGTTCCTACTTGCCTGCTTCAGTTAAAGGTAATGTCAGTGGCTGTAAAGGGTACAGGATCAAAACAGCCAAGTCCAACACCAGACTTACCAGTGATAGTTCAAAGCAGTGCAGACAGGCGTCTGGTGTTTGCCTGTTGCTTAGTGGGCAGTTAACCAGAGGTGATCTTTGACATACCACAGACCCTGGGAATGATGTCTCTGGTGAAAGCCTTCCTCTTCTTGCAAGGGAGAGTTTTCTTTGCAGGAGGATGCGAGGAGACAGTGTATTTGTTCCTGCTCACCGTTGATCTCTGCAGAAAAAATGAAGATAAATTATAAAGTCATTTCCCTTTAATTCTGAGCCACTCATCGCCATGTTTAGCTGACTGCATTAGCTGGGAAATTACTTTTGATTACTAATAACTGCCTTCACTGGCCATATTTATCATTTAGGGATTATAGCTGAACTTGCTGCTTATTATATTCTACAGAGTTTTGGATCTCCCCAACCAGTAAAAAGTGGGATGAGTGGGTTTCAGAAGAGGAGGGGGAAAAACCCCTTAGTTTCTGTGTGTGGGATGGGTGAAGTATCCTATGCAGTATCTGCTAAGATGTTTGTGATAGGGATGTGGCTTCCTGCTACAAGTCTCTTAGAAATTTCCCTGTAGCCATGGCAGTCTATGCTTACTTAAACACAGTCAGTGGTAGCATGCTTCATTAGTAAGGCACACATCTTAGAAAATGTGCTGTGGTCCTTCAGAATGGAGCTGGATGCCAAATTTAAGCCATTTTTCTTAATCTAGCTAATAAACACTGATTTTCGTAATGGTGCCAAAGAAACACATGAATACATTTTTCATCAGCTAATGCCTGCATTCCTATTTTCAGATGCAGGAAGATACTGCCTTATGTGGAAATAGTCCTGTTGTTTCTGCACTGACTGTGGAACTGAGCAAAGAAACCCTAGACACTATGTTAGAAGGTCTGGGAAGGATCCGGGACCAACTTTCTGCTGTTGCAAACAAATAAATACTCAAGGACATGGATTCCAGCAGTGAGGAAGGGAAGTATTCTCCACCTATACCTCTCACAAGTGGCAGCCTAGCATAACATGTTTCCTGTTGTAGCAAAACAAAATCAAAGAGATTTCTTGATTAAGATAGTTGTTGAAAAGCTAACACTTAAACATTCCTTTGGTCTGATGCCAGAAAGTGTTTTCCTAAGATGTTGTTGAACAAAAGCTGGTCTCTATTTTAGACTAGGATTTGAGGTCTCAGAGCTTGGCTTAATCACAAGGATCATAACTGGAAACAGCAAATAGCTGCAGCCAGTGAAGCAAGTGCTATCTTTCTGCCCTGAAATTAGGATCTAAAAGGCTTAAGCTGTTTGATGTGTTGCCTTCCAGCACTAGCAGAAAGGAAGGGTGCTTCTCTGTGGAATGTGCATGTACTAAGGTGCATGCTGGATATAGCAGTTTCTCCCTCTCAATGAAACACTGCCGTGCTGCAGTTTGTTCTTACATGCTAATGCTTTGAAATAGGGCAATTACGCTACAACACATTCCCTCCCAATCAGCTTCATAGCACCATTTGCAAAATGACTAGCCTGAATATCTTTAGCAGCAAGTAGTTTCCTCTTTCTGTTTGAAAAGAAAAAAAGAGAGTTCAGATAATTTGTGTTTGGGTTTCTTATGCTCTGGGGTTTGCCTTCACTGCACGAAAGACTAGGACAGTAAAAAATTGATGGCCATTTTCTGTACACTGGAGGAAATCCTTCTGTGGCAATATGTGCCTATACTTCCCCAAAGTGTTCTGCTGTTTGTTTATTTAATTCTTCCTTTAATTAAAAAATGAACTGATAATTGATTTAGTGAATCATTTTGAGGCTAGAAGAGATGTTGTCCTGGGTTACCTCAGCCTCTTTGTGATGGTGCTAGTTTGTAGGCTGTTTAATGGATCTTTACTCTTGTTGCTGGAGAGAGATCTTTTGTTTCCTGTTGAAATGAATTCACCTTTTAAACTGTCTTCTCTTCATTATAATAACAGTTTCAGGACACCCTTTTTAACACGGGCACCAGCTCTGTGCGATATCACAGGTGATGACCCTGACCTAAAAACATCTTCATTGAAAGTGTGGAGCAGTAAGTGCAGAAGATTAACAAAATTCAGATGTTTCTTTCTGATAAGCTTCTGTAATGCTCCAGACTAGAAGACAGTTCTTCAGTTTGAGGAATTTTGTGGCTTTGCAGCCTAGCCTTAAAAAAATCCCCGAGTAGTTTATATTGTACTGTTTATTTTAGAAGGTAAGACTCACTGAGGAGGTAAATGATGCATAATGAAATAGTCAGTGTTAGAGGAGCTAGGGAGTGAATACACAGAGGAAATCCTCAAGATAAACACTGACGCTACAGCCAGAATGTTGTAGGGCCCAATGAAATGAAAAACTGATAGTTGCATAGAGTTCCCTCACAAACCTGTTATACAGCTATAGAATTAAAAGAAAAGACTTAAAACTGAAAAGGCTTTTCCAGTGTTAGAGTGGTGCTAGCTGCAGGCATTTCTGAGTTGTTTGTGAAGACTTAATAGAAGGGGCTGTCCACTGGATCAGAGTCAGGACAAAGATCTGATGACTTCAAGGGCTATAGCTCAAGTAATTCTGCAAGAAAATACTGGTATTTTCTAGCCCAAGCTTTAGGAGGCTGACAGAACTTGCCGTCAAATCTTTGCCTCAAGTGATATGTATTTCCTTGTTGGCTGTTATCACCTTTGCCAGAAGAGCTGAGACTGCTCAATAAAAAAAGGTGTATAAAACAAGACAGGCTGAGTAAGACTGTCATTACCTGACCAGCAAGAGTATGTCACATTAAAGTCCTGTTTACAGAAACAGCTGCACAGGGAGAGAGTAATGTGCCTGCTATCGCAGGCAGTTGTATGTGATCTCTTTCATAAGATGATTGCTCTCAAAATCAGTTTACTTTTTCTCCTCCTTCCATGTACTGCTGCTATTTGGTGGGTTAGCCTATATGTGTTTAGAATTACTTGTTCCTGAGTCAGTACTCTCTTCAGCTTACTTCTACCTTTCAATTTTTGCCAGCTGAGATGAAACCATGACACCCTCCTACTTAGAAGCAGTAAAATCCCCCTCTGCTTTTGATGGCTGAACCTAGTAAGCTCTATATTCTGTGCCTTTCAGCGTCGTAGGGACCATTCTTCACTCTAGTTTGCATCTTCCTTGAGTGGGGTCACCACAGTTGTTCATTTTGGGAGAATAGTTCAAGGACATTAATAAAGAATAGAGCTGGCATAGTATGTGAATCACCTGAATGAACTCCTCCTCCCAAGAAACCACAAGCCTTGGTTGGGAAGTGGAGCTCAAAAACTCCATTTTCATTCCAGTATTTGAGGAATACAAAAAACACCTCCTATATGCACACTGTTTATCAAGTGATAACTCAGTTACACTAAGCAAAGCATACATTTGTTTGTAAAACACAAGATGCAAGTTAAGTTTGAACTGTAATTTCAATTCGGACATTGTGTTGGATTTGACTATGTCAAAGCATTGAAAAAGCATTAAAAACTTTAAAGCCTACTTTGTATTATTCTGAATTAAATTTTGCTTTCTCTTACTGCAAGAAATGTGTACTTCAGGGCGTTCAGGCTAAAAGTTGTATAGATGGGACTGGGAGGAAGAACAACTCAGGAAGAAAATGCCTTTAGGATTCCAAGCTTCTCCTTCAATTAATAATCTTTAAACATAAGTTTTAAAGAGTATAACAGCAAAACATATTTCAAACAGTAGAAGACTATAAGAATCATCCTGGTTTGGTACAAGTATAATAGTTACTCTATCTAGGTTTAAGTTTTGGGTTTGTGAAATTTACATATTCAAGTTCTACCAAAACTATTACCTATACAAAGTTTTTGCTTTGTTTATAATGGATATGTTGTTATTTCACTTCACATACCATGACTAGTTTAAAATCCTATTTAAAATTGTTTTGACCTAAGTAAAAAATGTTAGTTGCAGTTTTTTTGGCATCCAATTGTCCAATAGGGTTTATACTTAACAGTGTATATGGGACCCCCTTCCCAGATCAGGACTGAAAAATGTTTGGTTTTTTTTTGTAACAAATCTCCTAAGTGAACAACATCGCTCTCCCAAAATCACAAAAGCTCAGCTTAATCTCAGTTTTTGCTGCTAGGAACAACGTGTAACTTCCTTAGATGCTTTATAACTGTAGTTATTCTGAATCACACTAACCCCTACAAAAGTAACTAGTTTAATGAATTCATCAATCTTTCTCACATACCCCTGAAAAAAACTTCATCTCACTAAGATGTAGAGAGGTAAAGTAGGTGCATAAGGTTGCAATTTAACCAGTGATAGCACTGGGGGTTGAGGAATCCTACCTCCCCAGACCCTTTTCTAACTACTTGACCGCTTAGAAACTTCATTCCACAACACGGTAATTACACTGTTACATGTTTTTCCTCCCATCTACATGGACATTGTGCAGGTAGCTGCTGATCTGTGCTGTATTTTTCACAGAATCACAGACTGGTTTGGGTTGGGAGAGACCTTGAAGCTCAACGATTTCCAACCCCCTGCTGGGGGGTCCCTGCAGGGACACCTTCTACTAGACCAGGTTGCTCCAAGCCCCATCCAACCTGGCCTTGAACACTGCCAGGGATGGGGTAGCCACAGCTTCTCTGGGCACCCTGTGCCAGGGCCTCACCATCCTCACAGGGAAGAACTTCTGCCTGTTATGTTTTCATAATATTTTTTCCCCTCATATTGTTGATATAAGAAGTTAATAATACTTGGGACATTTGGGCTTTGCCTATTACTGCTACCTCCAATGTGTAACTTGATTAATGCAATGTAATTTAGCCTCCAGTTGGCTAACCACTTTACAATAACACTGCCAGGAATATCACTGCAGTAGCACAGCCCTGCTGAATCCATAGGTATCCTTAGAAGCCTCATGGTAGGCATCAGTTTTTGAAGTGACATACAACTATTGGTGAAAACTAAGGTATACTGCAACTAATCAGTAGCTACAACATGTCCCTGTTCTCACAGGGTATACATGGTGGTTGCTAACAGTCGTTAGCATTTAAGGTACATTAAGAACCTGACTATTCCTGCATCTGCTCAACACTACACACCTCTTTTCTGGGGTTATTAATGCATACGAGTCTTGCCACCAACGTTGCTACTGCTGAAGTATGGATGAAGTATATAACAAAAATACCAACAGCCTGTGACATAAACTCACTGTCTTTGTTTTATCAAGTTTCATAGGAAAAGAGGAACCACAGTAGGGTCAGAGCTAGCATTGCAAGCGTGGCATGCTTCCTAAGACTCTCCTACAACCCTGGTCTTTCACAAAGAGAAGTGTGAGAATGAAAGGAATACACTAAACTTTCCTGTAAGCGTAAATACCTTTTCCCCAGGAGATGGCGAGCTTGATCTCTCATTGCTATTCCCTCTGCAGTTCCTGGTCAGGAAGCAGTAGCCTGGGGTGTCCTCAGAAGCTGGGAGCAACCGAATGCCTACAATAGCCTACAGAGACCAGTTCACTTTAGCAGCAAAACAGAACTGGTTAGCAAAAGGTCTGTCATCTGCTAACACATTTGTGGGGTGAAGCAGCTGAGCACAGTTTAGGGGAAGCTGGCAGAGAAGGTAGTGGCAGTCAGTTCTCTGCAGTGTGCCAGTCATTTTAATCACAAAGAAGTAGACAACCTGCCTTCTCTTTTTTTTTTTGCCAGGGAATTGTAAATTCCTCCAGGGACAGCTTTGGCACCTGCAAGGGAAAGAATGGCACTGTATATAGAGGATACCGACAGCTTGGAATGTTTGGACCAGTTTCCAAACTGGCCCATCGCAGACAACTGAAGGTTTGCATTGTTTTGGCTTTAAATAGTGGTGAGCAGGGCACCGTAAGAATCGTCTCTGGGGGAGGAAGGAAGAAGGGGGAGGGAGAGCGCCTTCACTCCCAAGCATGTTGCAAACAAATTTTATTGAACAAGCTGGTCTAGTGGAAGGTGTCCTTACCCATGGCAGGGGGGTTGGAACTGAACAATCTTCAAGGTTCCTTCCAAACCAAACCACTCTGTGATTCTATGATTCTAAGCACAACACATCCTGTATATTTGATCTCTATTCTCCACATATACATATATATATGGATTCTTGCTGCTGTTAATAAAAGGCCTGGGATGAAAGCATCTCCTCTCCTCACTGCCCCTCTGCACCCTCCAAGCAGGCATTCTCTTGCCAGTCTAAAAGAGGAAATGCTAATGCATCCCAGCAACACTTGCACAGCACAGAGTGCTGTCAAACATGCAAAGTAAACACACCAAACAGAGACCATTAAATAGCATCCCACTTGCATCCTTACTCTCTTGGAGTTACTGCTGTTGTAAAAGGCTGGTTTGGAACAAGAGTAGGTATTCCTCCCCCCCTCCCCTCCAAAGAAGACAGTTTTTCATGTTGACAGCATTCTTTTATGCTGAGGAGGTAGTGAAGGTTGACTGCCAAGTAGCAGCAGAAATATAACAGCCTCCATTAGAGCTGTTAGCTTGAGTCAGCCAGGGCTTTTGTTTGTGATTTAGAAGGTTATAACTCAGCCATGCAAATAAGATGGAGGAGGAACTTTACACTGAAAATCTGGACCTTGCAGTGTGATTTCTAGTTTCTTTAAAAAAAAACAAACCAAAAAACCCCAAACCCAGCAAACACAATAAAATCCCACCACAACCTAAGTTTGCTTTGACACTGCGGAGTGCTATAAGGAAGAGATAAGAAACCTAAATGAGAAGACTGCAGCATACCAGTGCCTGGCCTTTGCACTGA